ATAAAAGTTTACAAGATGAACTTGAACTTGGACCAGTATCTAAAGTTGTTTCTGAAATTGATGATAATAAAAGTAATCAAAATTTTATTATGATTAATTAATCAACAGAGATTTTTTAATTTTTTAATTTTTCAATTAAAATTAGATTCTAATGGTAAAGGAAATGATTTAGAAATGATGGATGTGGCTGATGAAATTAATGAGATTAATGAAATTGCAGAATGGAACCAAGGTAATATATAATAGTATTTAAGTAAATGTTTAAGAAATGAATAATCAATAAAATTTTATATATTTTTAAAACAGTTGAAATCAGTAAATCTAATAATGATTCAATTAAGTTTTTTACTGGTAAATTTATTTTTAAATTTACTTTTTATTTATTATTTTTTATTTATAGTAATTTATTTATTTTATTAATTAAATATTAGTTGAAGTTAAGGATTTGATCACAACTGAAGGTAGTTATTATTATTATTTGGTTTATACTGTATTTTATATCCTAAAATTAAATTTTTTTTTAAATTAATTAATTTTAGAAATTATGATGTTGGGTGAATTATCAATGGATGATTAATTATTTACATTAATATCAATTATGATCTATTATGTATTATTATTTATTCTTTTAAATAGCAAATAAATAAATTTACAGATTTAAATATAAAAACAAAAATTTGCCATGTCTGTCTCTTTCTAAATTTCACAAATTGATATATACTTTACATATTCATCTTTTTTTTATTATTGCCAATTTTGTGTTGTGTTGGAAATATTCAGTTTCTTTGCTTTCTTTGCATTGCATATAAACAAAGAATTGAAAGAATTTTTAAATAAAGTAATTCCACGTGACAAATAGAGGCTCCTCTAATATCAATGTCAAATCATCAAAAAAATGGGGATATTTAAATTCTGAGCTATTTACCCTATGAATACAACAGATGAAACTGTCAATGTCCAATTATATGTTTTTTAAATAAATCAAACTTCTCTTGGTGAATATCTTATTCCAGAGAAATTTAAACTCTTCTAGTGCTGTGAGTGAATGAATGATCAAGAGAATTAATTTTTTATGACATTG